AACGAGGTAGTCTAATAAAAAAGACCTCTTAAACCAACTCAATCATATACCTATGACTAAACATAAATCTGTTCTCATTTCATGTCCATACATCATTTCAAGTAATTAGTTCAACCAGTACCTAGACAATGAACGAAGATAAATAGCAAATACGACAATAGTTCCTTTATTTGTGTATTTATTCAAAAATGACTTCTTCAAAGCACATCCGTGATCATAAAACATATTATTGCATAGCCCGAGTTGTTTTATGTGATGATATCACACTTTTCTTGTATTGGCATTTACTCAGGTATTTATACCTAATAAATGTTTAGTATACCTACGAATATTTAACATTTTTATAGAGTTTTTCATGGTATGTGACATAAAAAAGCTTAAACATTCGTCACATGGATATAAAAGGCTTATTAGGTAATGTTCGAAGATTTTGTGTCTAATTTGTATTGTAAGACAATACTTTTTTCGTGTTTATTATCGAGTGAGGACGGTTGACAGGATAGCAAAAAAAAGTCGACGAATACACTAAGAATTTCTTGACATGAATGTTATTACATTTGAAGGCATGGTCAAATCGTAACTGCTTTTCTTTAAAACTTTTTTGAACTTACATTGCAAGATATTGTACTAGAATGTTTGGTTATTATGCGATCTTTTTGTTTATTTTCGTACACTCTTTTGTTGATGAAATGCTTTATATTCACGATGATGGATTGTGAACGTGCACCGTGTGAAGTTAGTCTGCTGTTTCCTAGTATTAAGTGGGTTATACGTTATATCTAAGTTTCAAAGGATGTGAGCGTGCTGGTTCATGCACCATTAATATTTATGCCGCGCCGTTAAAACTTCCACATAAAGTAATATAAAGTAACCTACAACATTAGTCATTGTTTCACTGTTGTTCTTCTTTAGGCCAAGGCAGTTTCTTTGATTGGATTCTGTTAATAGTACCTAATAGTATTGACGTTTTAATTGTCTCATAACTTTAATCTACCAATAAGTTTTAATTTAAAGGATATCAATGAATTAAATACTCTAAGAAAAGATTAAATACTGTAAGAAATCCCCGTCCTCAGACAACTACCGCCTTTCTGTTGTGTATCATGTTTGAAAACAGATTAGCACGTATCACACGATGTCGGCTATAATTAACTGCAAATACAATCGATGTCCGTATTTACTTACTCGGCTTTACCATACCAGCTATAGTGCATAGCTTCAAACAAATTGCCGCTATCCTTGTGGCAGAAAGCCAACAAGTACCACGGAAGAGCGATTTAAAAATATTTGCTTTCCAAATAAACAGCTTTAGAGACTATAAAGGCTTAAGATCACGTATTCGGATTATCGGGTTACACCTGCACACGTAAGGACATAAAGGTCAATTTACATAAACATGACATTCCATAGTGTTGGTCAAATGTTTACATTGAGAACCTAGTGTTGTTGATAGGTGACTCAGACATTTTGCTTTCCTTTTCGTTTAGTATTCAAAATGTTGTTGCCGTTTTATTACCTTTAGCAGCTTTGCTTGATGCTGTTTGTCGTAACAAAAGTGAAAGATGATTTTCCGAAATTTTCTTGTTCAACTTTATGTCCTGTTTTAGGAAATGTATGTAATATTTAACCTTAACACGGTAAGTAGTTTTTTCTTATACTTAGAAGCTCAACCTTGATCTCTAAACCATCACAACAAGTTGATTACGTTTACCGCGAAAACACGACTTAAAAATTATAAAACAAACCAATCAAATGTAATTTTGATTGATTAACTATATAAAAACCATGTACACCAAGCGTTTACAAAACCGTTTACTAATAGTATTCAAATCATAAAGTAGGTGGTAGTCGGTTTGTATGTTTGAAAAAGGATTAAAGACCTGTCTATGTGTGGGAGGACAGGCTCAATAAGACGTGAAATATATAGTTGTTATAATTACATATAGTAAAGACATACGAGTATTTTTTGTCAGTAACTGAACTACGCGATTATAAACTAGAAGATAAAAAAAGTGGTTGACACGATTTTAGAATGGGTTTAATGTAAGTAATTATAATTGATACAAGAATCAGAACACTGATATTATAATCGATATATAATTTTGTGTAATTATCGAATGCACGTAGTTTAGGCAACTTTCTAAGCTATCACCACATGCTGAACTATCTAATTGAAAGTTTAATTTGTTAATAAACAATCACTCTTTATGGACTAGTCACGGTATGAATTAATTTGTACCTTAATGTTTCATTTACGGCCTCGCCCATTTTAAAACCATAAATGTGGATCACGTATCTTTTTAAATGAAACGTTTTTCACACAGGCATACAACAGATATTTCTGAATTTAGGAGTTTATTATAAAAGTACTAGTAATAGAAAACAACAAAAATTATACCCTTAATTTAGGCGTCAAAGTATTCGTCCGCATCACTATCACAGGGGAAAGTTCCCAGAAGACTGGCAGCATTGCCACGTTGAATGGCAATGCTTATTTTCTGTCCGAAGAAAAAGCCAGCCCTCTGGTCACGTGTCAATGACAATCACTTGTCACAACTAGTAATTGTGTTATTCACGTGGGCATGAAATATTTATAAGATAAATCCTAATTACACAGACTTCGTTGTTGAATAGATTCAATCTAAACATCTTTAGGACTAACAAAATAAAGGTGTCGCCTATGCAACTTGATATGCCAGTGTCCTTGGAGACATATTATCTTCTAGTGTCTTGCAAAATGGCAGCTAAGGCTTGACCTGAGGATTGACTAATTATTTACATTATACTTACAATACTTCTCTACAGTCATATAGAGAAACTCATATGTGATTTAAGATTGAAAAGATATTGATTATAGTATATATAATATATAAATTTTAATATAATATCTATATAAAATTATGCTTGTTGCAAAATTAGTTCAAATTACCAAATTGCGATTTTAATGGTTCAATCACACTTTTTTGGCCATAAAGTTATATGAGAGAAAATCTTTAACAATTAAACAGTATAATTTACAAATTCTCAATCATTCTCAATTTTTTTATATCACCGTTAACAAAAATACGATAAATCTAAATCGATTAAAAACTAAACGTTGATAATTATTTTAAAATGCAAAATTTTCGATGACCCAATCAGATTTTATAAAAATATGTACAAAATAAAATAAGATTTTCCTAAAATTCTAGATTTATTTTGTCGTTTCACTAAAATATGTGTTGATAGATTGGTTATTTTAGTTTACATGCCGATTTCATGTAGCCGGGTCATTGACCTTATAAGACGTAGAGTACAGTTTATTTAAATACAATATTTTTTATGATTGATACGCATGTCATAATTTGATATAAAATACAGTAGATAATAAATACCTGCTGCGTACTTATATAGTACTGTTATGTTAATAATTTGTAAAAAAATACACACTATATTCCTATTAAGATAAATAAGCTGACAAAAATATGGGCAAAATATTATGTTTATGTCAAAATATTGAGTCCGCAACAAGTTTATTGGAAAATAAATGACTTAATCATAAAATGTTTCATATTTTTCAATTTACTCGATAGCTTATTAATGACAGTGTATTAATTACACAATAATTTGAATAATTTACCGAAAACAAGTATTCGTGACTCTAGTTTTGATGATCAATCAGCCTACACTATAATTACATAAAATTTATATATATTTATATAACTGTTTTAAATATTAGGATGCGCATTCGATTGAAGTTTTGTACATTTGATGAATAAATTAGAACAGCAGTTGGTAGACCACCCAATAAAATTACAATCAGATGCATAGAATTGCAAATTAATACTAAGCTAGACATATCAAAAATGTCACTAGACGGTTGTGAAATATGATGTGCAACTATGTAGAATATTTAGACCACTGGTGGTGGTGATGCTGTTCAATGCCTTATGGCGAAATTTTTTATTCCAAACAATAAATTAAACATTTTTTTTGTTATATTTCATTGATATTATATTTAATACGTATTAGAAAATTTTCTATCATAGACATTTTATATGTTATAAAATTGATTGTTTATATATAATAAAATGTCTATGATTATATTGTAGTAATCATTACTATGAGCCCTGGTGAGGCTTGAAATTAGTCGAGTAGCTTCATCGAAATGTTACGAAGTAGTTAAAATATTACTTCTTATCTATATACTTTGTTCTTTAAAATAAAATAATGAATAAAATATTTAAATTTATTTCTCGCATCGATCTTGTTCACGACTTTGGGAGAGAGCAAATATTTTGGTCGGTGAACGTTTTTTAGTTCGTGATTAATGACGAAGGGGCTTTAGGGCCACGGAACATTTTTGTTGGACTTTCCCTAATATTTGTTGACCTCTTGAATTTCTGTTTTCTCGAAAATTCTTAATACATTATTTACCAAATACTCGACCCGTATTTTTTGGATTTCTTAAAACTACAAGTTTTTGTAGCAACAAAATCTTATCTAAAGCATCTGAGTATCCTGTGTAATTACATACTTATTTAAAGTCTCAATTATTTAATTTTATACCGCCATTATAGATGCTAATGTTCGCAGGAAGAACGTAATTAACTTTATTTACTTTGAATTAAAGTCTTCAGTACCTAATGTATTTAGAAGCGTCTTCTTTCTTTTAAGTACATTTATTTAATGTCTGCATAGATAGAACTTTTCTAATGAATAACTTGAATACATTGAAGTACTCGTCTATTAAACTACATGAGTACCTCACCTTTCTGTTATTGAAATAAGATAGATATTAATACCTACATGACATTTTATAACTATTATTCCAAAGTTTTTTTATTCGAAATTTTATTATCATTAACTTATCGATTACTTTTTGGAATGTGCAAGTTTTATAACAAAAAAAAGTGGAGATAGGTATAATTTTTTGTTTATTTTGATTAGCCAAGTCTCAGGGTCGTTTCGTATGACAAATCACATGAGTTTTAAAAAAATGTATTAATAAAGATACTTACTGAAATCTATAGGAGTTCGGCAGGTTGGCTGTTTCGATATCATATCGGATGATTTGAGCTCTGTTTCGATTGTCAACTGCAGGACTCGCCCCGATCGTTTGCACCAGCAACGATGACACCACACACTGTAATTTAAAAAATTTATACATTTTCACTATCATCAACATTCTTATTATTAGCCATAAGACATCGAATACTGAAAAATAGCTTCCAGCTCATTGCTGGTTGGGTTGGTAGGTTGGGGGTCGCGTCCCTCAAAATGAAGAGGATCATGCAACCTCTCTTTTGGTGGCTAGTCGCCATTTTTGGGCATATTGATACATTTTACTGACTTGAATCAAAGCGTGTTTACATAATTAGTAATGACAATCATGTCTCACGCCCCCGGAACACGTTATTTGGATCTTCGTGCGTCCTTCATTAATTCAATGATAACATCGCCGTGTTTTCGACCGGTAAAAGTTTTGTATAAGATTTTTGTACAAGATTCCTTAATTGGCGCCGGCTGATTGTTTAGTGAAATTTAATTGCCTGTGATTAACTATTCCATATCTAGAACAGAACCTCGACCTTGATCTCTAAGAAGTATGTATTTTGAGTTCGTGTTAGTTATTTTTTGTGTTTTGTGCATCAAAATTGAGTGTATTCAATAAATAAGTTACGTTCTGATGCGTTACAGAAGACTCGTTTGAAATTAGCATTGTCATATGCCAGAATTCTATCATATGGTGTTTGATTTTCTCTGCTATCTCAATGAAAGACAGGAGTGTTGGTAAATAAACGAGTCCTTGAAATAACTTCTCTTTTTCATTTAAAAAATATTATTTTAATCGAATGACCTCTAAATTTATTATCAGTCAATAAATACATTACGACCTTCGCAAAAAGTGCAAAACAAAAAATTCATTTTTATAATAGCCATAGAAACGTTATCAGGATGCCCAGACTGACTATTTTAAGATCTTGCTTATGATTCAATTATAAATAACAGACATCCTGTCAAAATTCACATATTTATGTAATATTAGAGCGCATAATTTTAATGAATATGTATTTAAATGTCAAGTTTTAAGAATATTTTACTTGATAAATAAATTAAGATTCACTTTGTAGTAATGTATTTCTTGTTTAAGTAATTCTTGAATTAAACGTACACTTTAAGATTTCGTCATTGATGTAGGCATAAACATAGAAGGCGCGGGTACAGAAAAGGTCAGAACCTAAACCTCTAACGACTTTAGGCAAAATTAAACATTCCTTTGCCAAGCGCCGGTATTCGCAACACACTTTGTCAACACGCAATCACAGGTCATCAGTTCAAAACACTCGATTTATCGGCACAATTACTATGAAAATGTGGACACTATTTGATTCTTATTCCATCACTTTGAGCACTTAACACGTTGTATAATTACCAGAATGAACAGCATCTTGTCGCGTTTCTCAGATGACAAAAGAAGCAGGTGACTTCCTGGACAGGTTGTAGTCCGAATGTGCTAACGGTTTCGCAAGATCTCCTTTATATATAAAGAGTGGCGGGTGTGTGTGCTCGCTGGCCGCATATAAGCGTATGGCGAGCTCCGCCTGCGCTGAAACAGAGCCAATTCTAGATGACCATTACATAGATCGACATATGAATGGACTCAGCATCCGCTCCGATGCTACGGTTACAGAACTTGGACCAACAAAGTATCCACTTTAACAAAGAAACAATACACTCTCAAATGGTTTTGCGAATTGAAAGTAAAGGCTATTCATTGGTAATACGTGTGTTAATGTTTTGTTTCTGGAAAACCAATAATTGGACAATAGTTCCTCATATATGACTAATGGTTAGTTGCGACAAAAGGCTGTTGAGTAAAGTAGTACAAGAACGCATGTGGCTTTGCGTACTTGCCTTTCAATATAGCAACAAATCCAAGTAAGATTTGCAGTGGCGGGGAACTTACACACCTACATACTTCATAGATTACTATAAATAGCAGAGTTCAAAATTCAATCCCAGGAAACATAATCAGATATCTCTGTGATGTTTCATCTATAGCTTACATGAATAACCAAATGCCTAAATATGGACATCTTCGATTGGTTGTGGTTAGTCCCTATTTATATTGTACTGATTAATATTTTGTCTATAAATAAATTTGTAATAAAGAGACCAATGATAATTAAAATTTTAGCCACAGAGATATAATAGAGTATGCTTCCTGATTGATTAATTGAAAAATGAATATCGGACGTCTCTTCGTAATACGTGTATCAAAAAAGTATCGATATCTTGCTGTATGTTTTCACATGAAAGTGTTTATTGCCTTCAGTTATCGAAATCACTTGTCATTCCTTATTTAATGGTCCCAATCCTTAAGAACTTACCTGGAATTTTCGACAACCCTAAACAAGGTAAGCTACTTACTCCGGGTCAAATGAAAAAGATAAAATCAAATGTTATCAAATTTCACATAAACCTTATAAAGATTACGTGAGCACTTGCAAAAATTGCATTTTTGTAACGGGAATTATGTGCACTTTTTTCTTTAGAATTTGAAATTTGTTGGCGCCGTACTTTATCTAAAATATGTGTTTACATCACTGTTATTTATTTACTAGTGACGCATTTCAACGCGTCAATTGGAGTAAGTAGGTGCTAAGTTGCACGTGCAATGACTTAATGAAAATTTGGAAATAACATTAGGTAGTTACTAACTCCAAATAATTTGTAATTCATCTAGTCTTCCATTGTTATCTAATAGTTAATTCGTTACTCAATCGCCATTAACTAAAGTCGTAGTTGTACTTTTAAATAGAAACTAATTGTATCTAGGCCTTTCCTGTTTTTATTTTAACTTACAAAGTACGGGTAAATAAAGAGAGCACACATGTAGGCATTTTCATTCTGGTTTTTTAATGTGTACCTATTCGGACCCTGGAATTAATATTTAAACAAAAAATTACTGGAATACATTTTCATGACTCAACAATACTTTTGCCCATCACGTATGTGAGAATAATCTGTGTGAGCTGATTTAATGTCTTATACCCTTTTTCAATCTGATATCTTTTTAAGTTACCTCTTTTGCTCTGTTTTTAATGAAAATATAGTACATTAGCACATACTTATAAAGTAAATACTGTGAAGGACCTATATTACAATTACTTCACATATTATTATTTTTCTTAAGATTAAAGCATAATAAAAGACAATAATCATTATAGTGATTAAACTATTATTGTAAAGTGTATTAAACAGCACATTTTAAAGGTCTGTTGCAGTTTCCGTCGAGGCAGGAAATTCAGAAGCAATTTGTTCATTGACTTCAATTTTAAATGGATCTAGTTTAATCACCATTAATTTACGAAATTGTGATATTCTAATATCAAATATTTCAAAACATATCGATCAAAACAGAAGGCCAACAAAGAGCGTTAACATTAAAAAATATTTTAATATAGTTCAAGATTTCAATATGACATTACGACTGCAGTCAGATGCAATATTATTAGAAATATTTTGTAACAAATCTTTGGCAAATCACCGACGTAGTTAATTCATTATGCATAATTGATGCTGATAAGAAAATCTTGCTGAAAACAATTGATAAAAAGACTGCCATGTTTGTCGGGAACTGGTAAACGTGAATATGTAGCAAGTGGTCTCGCGATAGAAATAAATAAATATTAAATAGTATTAAATACGAAATTGTAATTGGTGTTCTTTACAGCTTTATTCATAAAGTAGGTTACACTGTATATCTGCATATCTGCACATTTGTTTACCCTATTAAGGACTAAAAGTGAGAACAAACTATGACACAAATTATGACATGAATGTGGAATAAATGAATACGGATGTTAAGACAGCGCATGATGCAACACTAATTCTGTCACTAAATTTTCCAATTACAGACAATCTTGTTGATACATAGATATTTGATTTATACACTAAGGATATAGTTCGTAGTCTATTCGTACTTTAAAAGATGATATTTAACGTTATAAATTTCAATAAGAAAATCTATAACTCCAGATACAAAGACGACCGACGAACACCTACATACAAAAATATATGATATCGACTTTCTAAGGACAGACCCAATTCAAACGTATTTTGTTACGTGTCACTAATCTCTTTCACTTTAAAAGCTCTTACGATAAAAATGTCGGTAACATTAGTCAAAGTTAATTTATTTATACCTTTTAATAATTTAAGGTATTTAATTTGTATTCAAACATTACTTATTACTTAAAGTATGTACAATAATGCTACATAATATATAAAATTGAAATTCTGTTTGCAGAGTCGTATTACCCCAATGTAAACTTGGTAAGTCCCCTCCTCCTTAAGGAGTAATTTGAGAGACGCTACGGCGTTCTCACCTACCACCTGACACAGGTCTTCACTGGACATGGGAGCTTCGGGAGGTACCTGTGTCTGATAAGGTGGAAGGACACGCCCGGATGTCATCACTGCGAGGACCGCCCTGAGGACACGGTTGAACACACGGTAGGGACATGCCTTTCGTGGGCTGAGCATCACCGTGGTCTCAGGGATGTGATCGGCGACGGCGGCTTCTGGCGTCCGGCCCTAGTCCGGATTGTGATGCGGAGCGAAGAGCAGTTACGCTAGCTCAGGAGGAGGCGGGGCGCGTCAGGCAGCGGACTGCCTTCTCACGACCCAGCCGTCGCGATGGACACTCCGGTCTTCGGGGATCGCGGGACGATCTCTGGCGTCTGCAAGAACGGGCCTGCGGACGACAAGCATGGGCGGCTACCCATGCTCGTCGTTTACAATAATTTTAGTCGGTTTCGATTCGTTTAGAATTTTGTTAAGACTAAAGTTTTAGTTGATTTCTATAGTTTCAAGTCCTAGTTTGGACTTGTAAAATTCGGAGAATCTTACTATTCGTCGCCTAATATCGGTTCATGGCACCCCAAATCTGATACAAGAATTCCTCTAAGTTTACTTTTTGCCGCCCTATACCAGTTGGGGGCGCGTGGCGCCTCAAATTTTATACAAGTATCCTTAATCGGATTCTGTAAAAGTAGGACTGGTAAAATAAGGAGAATCTACTAGGTACTCACCGCCCATTCCTGTTTGATGACCAAATCTGATATAATACTTTTTGGCGCCCTATACCTGTCAGTGGCGTCCTAAATTCGAAGTCTATCGAGCGTTCTGGAAACCGATGAAGCGTTGTCGATCACTTTTGGAAATTTCTCCAAAACCATCGAGTTCTGTGTTCACTTTGAAGAGCAACTCGAAATCCATCGAGCGTCTCCGAATACTTTCGAGAAATACTTGAAATTGTTCTCTGTCATGTTTGAGAGATACTCGTAAATTTTCGAGTGTCTTCGAAAACAATCAAGCGTTCTCGATCACATTCTAGAGTTACTCGAACCTCCGGGTGGGTCCCAAACGTCCGGGTGGGTCCTAGGACTCGTCCTCGACAGTCGGTGGAACTTCATTGAGCATTTCCGACGTTTGGCTCCAAAGTTGGAGAGGACGGGGGCTGCGTTCAAACGCATCCTCCCCAACCTCGGGGGGCCAAACGCCTCCTACCGGAGGTTATACGCCGGGGTCGTGCGGTCCATGGCCCTCTACGGCGCCCCTGTTTGGGCGCCTAACCTGTTGCGGCGTCCCGCTCGGACGCTGCTCATGGCACAGAGGGTCATGGCGATCCGAATGATCCGCGGATACCGCACGATCTCTGGGGAGTCGGCGAACCTCCTTGCCGGATTACCGCCGTGGGATCTGGAGGCGAAGGTGCTCGCGCGCGTGCACAGCATGCGCGCGGAGGCACGTCGCCGGGGCGAAACTCCGCTGCCGCGCCAGATAAGTGCGTGGCGGGATGAGCTCCGGCGCGATCTCATGGCGGAATGGCAGCAACGACTGTCGCAACCGAGGGCTGGGCTCGCTGCCATCGCAGCGGTAAGTCCCCTCTTTGAGGAGTGGCTTGAGAGACGCTACGGCGTCCTCACCTACCGCCTGACGCAGGTCCTCACCGGACATGGAAGTTTCGGGAGGTACCTGTGTCTGATGGGGCGGGAGGAAACGCCCGGGTGTCATCACTGCGAGGACCGCCCTGAGGACACGGTGGAACACACGGTGGGAGAATGCCCTTCGTGGGCTGAGCACCGCCGTGTCCTCAGGGAAGTGATCGGCGATGGCGACCTCTCGCGTCCGGGCCTAGTGCAGGCCATGATGCGGAGCGAGGGGGATTGGGATGCCGTCTCCTCCTTTTGCGAAGCAGTCATGCTAGCTAAGGAGGAGGCGGGACGCGTGAGGCAGCGAAGCGCTGCCTCCTCGCAACCCAGCCATCGCGAAGGACACACCGGGCGTCGGGGATCGCGGGACGATCTCCGGCCACCGTAAGCGCGGGCCTGCGGACGGCGAGCATGGGTGGCTCCCCGTCCGACCAGAAACAGACCCGAGCGTACGGCGCGTCGCGTTCCGCGCGCGCCTCAAAGAGCCATCAGACCACCACAGATGGGGCCCAATAGGGCCGATGCCGATTCGGAGTCGCGGAGAACCTAACGGGTAACCGGGGCTCCGGCTCGACGTGCAGGAGAAGGAACGGGGTGGTTTTTAGTCAGTAAGAGTCTGACACTCCCTTCCGCCTCACCCAGGCGGGAGCAGACATTCGATGATTTTCCCCCTTAAAAAAAAACCGTCCTCACTCGATAATATACACGAAAAAGTAAGACAATACAAATTACTCGCTTGGGTGAGGCGGGACCTCACCCAAGCGGGAGCAGTCATTCGATGATTTTCCCCCCTTAAAAAAAAAAGAGTTACTCGAAATCTATTGAGTATCCTCTATTATTGCACAAACTAGCACTGGTAGGTACGCTTTGGGTGTATTATCGCGTGACGTTGTCGGGATCTCCGGCCACCGTAAGCGCGAGTCTGCGGACGGCAAGTAAGGATAGCTCACCATCTGACAAGTACCAGACCCGAAAGTACGGTGCGTCGCGGAAAATGCGGGCCTCGAAGAGCCATCAGACATCCATAGACGGGGCCTACCAGGATTGTTGCCTTGCTGGAGGGTAGGTTGTCCTTGTCATATAGGTACTGAGACCTGGCTTTGAGCAAGTGTTGGAAAGAATGAAGAGGTTTTTAGTTAGTAAGAATTGTAAGAGTCACTTAGAGCATCAGTCATTTGATGACTTTTTGACACACCCAATAAAATGGGGGGCGGCATAATCAGTATTTGCATGCGGGCGCTCGTCGAATAATTAGTGGCGGGTCTAGTGCATAGGGCGCCATGTTGCATATGGGCACCATAAGATGCGCATACCCGACTGTCCAGAGAACGACGGCGGCGCAAACAAAAAATAGAGTCATCACGTCTTGCCTATGATGCTTTCCGCTGACCAGATTGGAAAATCAATAAATTTACAAAATCTCTTTACGTTTAAATCTTTTATAAAAATCAATAGACAGCAATGTATATTACCTAGTGCGTGGTATTTCTACGTAACATTAATAATTACTAGTATTAACTATTCAAAGTCAAGTCAGTAAAGTAGCAAGCTCAGCATATTCAAGTTATGGATTAATTAAGATAATTTCTTTGATAACCTAATGAATTAATCAAGTAAGTGCATCTATTCTGCAAGACTTTGTTGTTTATATGTAGGTACCTATATTATGAATAAACCAGTTGAGTTCAAGATTATCTCCAACTCACATCTGATGGTAACTGCGTGACTTATGTTAGGGCCTAATAAATACTTTATTATAACAAATAAGGTAAAGTGTTTAGTGAAGTAAGTACCTATGTATGTGCATTTAGTAAAGAGTATGTACATCTTAGGTCCATTCATAGTTGTTTCATTGTCTTTAAATGCGTGTAAAATAAATATAAAATTATGCGATTCTCTTACAAAATTTTGGTAAAATGAAAATTTTAACCTATTGCGCCTGCTTGCTTATTTTGCAAAATGGATGCTATTTAAGTTATTATTATTCCAAAATATCATAAATAATATAATTAAACATTTTATGTTGATATATGTACATGGCAATGATTATTATTATTATGAACGTAGCTGTTTTTGCAATACATTGAGGTCGTACGGTCGTACGTACAAAGATTATGCAAAATTGACCTATGATTCTCAATCACTTCAAACTATGGTTATAAACTTTTTGTGATGTAAATCAGGTTTTGATTGAAAGATTTGGTATTTTATGTGACATTAATGTATTAGAATAATCTTTATGTGCAAGATGAATTAATTAATGAGATCAAAATATTAATTTATGAATATTTTATTGCCGTATCACGGAACTGTACATTCGTCGACTGGCCCTATAGTCTAAGATCATTTGGGCGAATAAGCAATTGGAGTCAAAGAACATGGAATGAGACCACATTTTGACATGAACAAATAATGTGAATGTTTTTCAATGAACACAGCACTTTTAATTGTAAAAATTAAGGGGAAAGTGATATAACAATTCACGTTATCTTAATCCTATAACAGAAGCAATTTGCGAAAGGACTACTCTTTAGGTACGTGCAGATTTGTTGATAAGCAACTAGTTGCAATTTCCCTACATTTACTTGCAAGCGTATTTTAAATCCTTATCGCTGGCATTTAAGTAGGTACTTTGCGAACCAACTACTACACTTTATGCTATATATCCTAAATATGTAACTAACGTCATATATTAAATTTAGATTTTCCTTTGGCAAAAGTGCATAAAAATAAACAAAATACGGTTTAAGTCAAAATAAACACAAAACAACAATGTCATAACAATTTAGTTTTTGTGTTCCATTTTTATAAAAAGTAATAAATAGATTGATTTATTGACAGATTGGTAAATAGAATCATCGACATTATTTTAATTACGACAGACAGACTCTCCGCTCTGGTGCAACGTCTGCATGTGTTGGTTTACAAGGCTGTTTTCCCACACAAAGGCATCATGGCTAGCACCACCATACTTAGGGTTAACATTCATTATAAGGCCCCTGTGATCACACACCTAAAAACAATGATGTAACATTACTTAAACTATGAAATAAATAAATATAAAACTATGAAGCTTTTGATTGTTTAGATTGTATCAGTGCATTATTAACACTATGTTTATAAAATTATAATGTAATTATTACCATTTGAACATTTATCGAATGATAGTGCTTGCGACAGTAAAATAAATGTTCAATATCCTTTTTGGGCTTGACAATTCTAAAGTGTGAGCCATCTACACATCCCAACACTCCAGGAAACCCGTACTTTTTATAGAAACTAAAAAGACAAATATTTATAATTAACAAGTCATCTACTAGCAAGTGCAAGAATATGAATTTAGGTTCAACAGTAATATACCTTTGTTTCACTTGTTCTCTAGCTTCTCGTGTCGTAGGGAACTTAATTAACTTTTTTAAAACCTCTGGGTGGTTGAGAGCTTCAGTCACTTGGTGGACAAAGCGGCTGATGGCTTCTTGGGAGAAACAATTGGCTATGCCAACCACCCTTTGGTAGTCGCCATTGGCATAAAATAATAATGCGCAGAGTACCTAAAAGTAATCAGAAATTGTACTTATTTATATAACCTACTTGTGTATTTATTTATGTAGATGATAATAATTCACTCACCTTAGTTTCTAGTGAGACTCTCTGAGAGCTTCTTAAATTAGTGAGGTCTCTAAGTTTCTCACATAGAAACTTGTAGGCATCTTTTGTCAGCCGATATCTTTGGACAAAATGGGTGTCCGATATTAAGCTTGCGCTCAATAACTTTCGCCGCAAAAGAAGGTTTTCACGCTCTTCTTCACGGCGATCCATTTCAGCGGCTTCTGCCATCATCCTCCAGGCAAAATAACTTCTCGCAGCCATTATAAAAGTCACACGTAATTTTTTAAGCACGCAAGTCGCTAAGTTTTGCTCTATCTCACCGATTTTTATTTAGTGAGTTTGAAAACGTTTACGTTGGACGAGATCGAGACGCTTTTCTCTCGTAGACTTGTCAAAAATGTAACTCGTACTGCCAATTTGTCGAGAACTGTCAAAATTTCTCGTTAACGCTGACCGTTTACGGATACTTTTTACGTTGAAGCAACTCATACTACCAAATTTAGTTCCTCTAAGTTTCCGATAGGGGCGCTGCTAATTTATGAATGAAAATTAACGTTTCGTTAGAACGTAACGTTTGCTGTCAAAACTCATACTAAGGGTACAGTTCCCTAGCGATTTCTCCTGCGTGCTCTGTTTTAAAAGCTTCGCAGCAATATGTTTTCATAATGCCCTAGAATTAATATGAGGACTAGACTTAATTGTAACTCAGATTGTCCTATAATAGGTGCAATTCAAGGCGCTGAACGACTACTAAGAAGTTTAAAAAATAATGTTGGGCATTATTTTTCTTATTATTATCCTAGGTCCAAATGTTTTAGAATCGAAGAGAAAAATAATTTGATTCAGAATAAAGGATTATGAATAAGGAAATGAAACGAAAAAGTTGAAAATAAACCTTAACTATGACTTTTATTTAACAAATTATACTAATTTTACTAATAATACTTTAACCGAGGAGTGAGGCGACGACCGCTGAGGGTACGGCACCACCGGGTCCTTGCTCGATGGTGGGCTGGAAGCCGTTCTCATCAGCGACGTAGTTCACGGTATAGGTGACACCATCGGGGCCGACCCAGGAGTAGGAACCTCTTACTGCAACGAACTCATCTTCAGAGCCAGCGTTCCTGAGCTCTCCGTATTCATTATGACCAGTACCGTCGGTTTGTTCGAACCTGTAACGGAGACACATAGAAGTAAATAAAGCCTGTAAAATTATTTCCCTTCTGTGATTGGTACGAACTTTGATAAGTTTCCGTTTGTACTAGAGTATTTGCTTGTGTAACTAGATTCTAAAGATATAGTATATTAAGTTTAAATTTTTCTGCCTGCTCCTTGGGACAGAGGCGTTAATGTAAACAAACAGTTGTATCTGTATGAGAATTAAATATGATCTAAAGAGTTTTTATAACATTCAAAGTTATCAATATGAAATATACTGCAGTTAAAAAGGATTAACTAAAAACTTACACGTAATTGTAGGCGCCTAGTCCATCGTTGTTCAGGTCGTAACGTAGGATTTGAACATCCTGAATATTCTGAGGGGCGGCCGCCACCACAGCTACGAACGCACACAACACCAACTGAAAGTAATAAAACCGCACTATTAACACTTTTTCACAAGCACATTTATTAAAATAATTTAATATTAAATCACCACAAAGTACTAACCAATTTCATGATCGCTATTAAACGGCTAACCGTATCGAGTTTACTTGAACTATGTGCTCGTGAATTATCTTAACCCATGTTTTATACTATTCCGAATATTGCATTACAACATACTGTTATTAGTTGACGCACATCTCGTTACAGTGTTTTGTGTATTTGACCACTCCTACGACATGGCGAAGGTAAGACGCGAAATGTTTGAGGGACCTTACGAAACTTATTTTAATAATATATGTAGCTTCAAGTGATGGTACCTATAATTTGTGTGATTGACAGCAATTAGTAGATACCTTTTTCTTTCTTTCATTGGAATTGTTATTTAACATGTTGATTTATTTACACATTGTTGCGTTAATTTAATTTAATGCAAGTATTCAGTACAGTAATACTTATTCTGTGGTTTTGTGTGGCCTAGACTTAAAACGAAGAAAAGTGTTATACTTTTGTAAAAGGTTATGACAGAAAACCACGAGACGGTTAATATTTAATTTGTTATTTCGTGCATGTGTTGTAATGATGAAAGTTCAATAGACGTGTTTGTTACAAAAGTTTAATATCTTCGAAGCTTTAAAGTTTCAATAGGTGTAACTGAAAGGTCTCGGTTAATTATGTCATTAGACAAAACTATTAAATACTTATTAAACTTTAAACAAAATTGGTTAATTAATAATCTTGCAACATTAACCTATGACCTCTATGTCAGTACCTTAACTCGGTTGGCCAATAGAAATAATGATTTTTAACATCGCGGCATACATTACGTATGGATGAAAGGTTTGTAAATAATTTCGATGATTACTTTAATTCTATTAAATATTTGACTAATGTACTTTGCGTGCGTTTTCCATACAATTTGAGATGTCGTGTATATGTAGATTTTTTCACCTGTATTCGTTTGATTTGTTCTCTGATTTCGATTTTAAATTATTTCATTCTATTACAGTTCATGAAGCTTTAATTATTAAAATGAAAAGGAACTCTCTATTTTACATCTCATTTTCCGATTGTTTTATTATTATTTATAACTATGATTTTTTTATTTTAAAATGTTTGTCGAATATGTTTATCGATAAGCTTGAAGCTTTTAGCAATGTGGTGTGTAATATTCAGTTTTCTGTCTTATCTTGTTACTCGCGAGCTACATAGTCGTTACTCACCGTTTTGCCTGCATGGTCAGAAGGAAAAAGTAGTCTACATCAGCCTACCTCTATTGTAACTATCTTTAGATACGAAATAAAATAATAAAATTTCTCCGTAGCGATACTAAAGAAAGACAAAGCAACACAATTCTGCATCTCTAATTCAACAGATTTCTACACTTGGTTGGGATGATCAATATTTGGTATAGGAAATAGTGACCTATTTTTACCATACTTTTCTGATACTCATACCATTCAATCTACTTAAACCTCATTGTATAAATTTAATACGCATAACTTTATGCGTATTTATATAACGAATATCATTCATATTTATTGTTGACAATAACACGGAAACTGTATGCAAATCGAAGAAGTCTTGACCTTGTTCCAATGTATCAAAGTTGGAATTAAAGAGCCACTTATAAAATTTGACGGTTCATCTCTAGCCTGCAGCAATGTCCTTGTCAGAAGTAGGTATTAGGTATCATAATCATAATATACTTTTCATAATTTGACTGCCTTGTTAAGACGAAGATGAACTTAATATGTGTTTTCAAAAAAAAAAAACAATGTATCTGCTAACGGTTTAGACCAGATACGGAATTTAAAATTTTATTTCTCGCGAATAGGTCTCAATCTTGTAGGAATATCCTTACCATCATAGATAAAAATGGAAAATAAATTAGCCTGTGTTAATACCTCAGACAGAATGAAAGTTTCTAATCTTTTTTTAAACCGTTTATTTCAACAGTTATAAATTTTCCGTGGGCTTTTTGCCAGACATCGAACCCAACTCCATTCTTAGTTTAGCTAGTTTAATTTATTAATTTAAAATAATTCCTCGAAATGTCTGAAAAATGCGGAAATAAAGACCCGATGAGTATTTGGTGTGAGTGTTTAAGCCTTGACTTACCTGACTAGTAACCAACTTAAGACTTAATAAGTGGTCATTTTAGTGCCTAATCATGTATTCGTATTTACTCTATAAACATTTGTCGAATATAAATACGTTGGTTACAATGTATGAATTGCAGAAATCTTCTACTTAGCTTCAAACGCAGTGGCTTGAAGGTACAATACGCGGAACGCACATATTTCGTAATTGTTTTCACTGCTTTATTTGATTTAATTTTGAATTTCATTGAGTGTAAAATGTTTTAAAAATAGATCTTTTTATACAGATTGCTAAAACTGTAATTAGTATTCAGACAATTACTTAAATTAAACCCACGACCATGATTATGATTTGAGATGCAAAAGGTACCACTTACTACCACTTAAGGAAAGGAGGAATATATCAGATATCTCTTTCCTCGTCAAGTTGGCACAATCTTATATCGACGCCCCGGAACTTCTGTCCAAGATTAATTTACGCGCTCCCACTAGATCTTCTAGAACACCCTTCCTTCTTCTAAACGTTCCCCGTTGTCACACTAATTACAGACAGAACTCATTCTTCATTAGAGGCGCAAAGTCCTAAAATAATCTGGTCGACTTTTCTAAACTGGACTTATTCGTTACTAAGCCGATATTCAATCGATTACTTACAAAATATTGGTTCGATAGCTGTTCCATTTCGCACTGCAAGAATTAATATTATTGTATTTACCATAATTCCTAATTACCTCTTTAGTCATTTTTTCTCTTTCAAGCGTGTTCTTCATAGATAACTAAATGCGAAAACATGTAATTGGTTAATAGTTGCGTAAATTGTGTTTTTTTTGGCTGTTAATACTGTATGTTTTCCGATGTAAATAAAATAAAAAATAAAATAAAATAAAAATTAATTGCGCTGTAGACTGATTTGATAAGTTTGCGTTTGGGCAAATGTCACTATTACCATTCATATTATTGAAAATTGGAATAATAGTAAGTAGAATTAATATATAACTTCTACAGCAAACATTAACGAAGATTTATTTAAATAACAAGTCAATAAAGTCAAATTTCTGCAAGCGTTACTCCAATTAATAGAAAACTTCAATATAAATATAACATATCCACATTCTAACTGCGGATATGTTAATCGATAAGATTTAATTTTTCCGTTATTACACGTGAATACATGTCATGGGCCAAGAAATTACAAATAACTAGTAATTATACTCTACTTACGACATAGGAGCTACTAACATTGACATAGGAACAACTTTCGACAAGTTCTTGGACGCGGCAATATTTCTAATGAATGTAGGGTAAGCATTTGTCTCAGGTGGGCGACAAGTGCAGTGTTACACAATGAACTCCAAGTCAATGTCAATTGTAACACAAGTTATTGACACTTGATTGATTACATGTACATTATGAACTGACACTGAAGATGGTAAGGGCAAGGTACTCATTCATAATTATTCGTTTATGAACTTTGAGTGTTATAGTGTCCTAAGATGGTGTTTGGTTTCGAAAGAGGTTACTTTTCTTTCATTTAAATTACTCAGTGTGTCTCAGAGTAGCGTTTCAGGATTGATAATGATTAACTAATTCATATAATTTATTTCCCTTTGATGAAGAAGATTTCGATCTTTACTGATATTGTCGACTGCAGGGCTCTCAAGACGATGTTCAACAATAACAGTAAACTAAAATTTTTCGCGCCCGTGCCCGGTATATGGCAATGGGCTCACCTCCTATTACATAGGACTCATAACATAAATAGTGAAAAGTGGGTGTTACATTGTACAGTGGCATTAAGTGCCATAATCTGCCTATCCCTTTGGGGATAAAAGGTGTGATGTTATGTTATGTTATGTTAGGTTACAATATTTCGATCTTTTTAGTATATATACTAGTTATAATAATAGTGTCAGTTGTTGCAATTTCAGTAAGTACAATGTACATCAGTTATTTACATGTTGATTTAAAACTTTTTTACGAAACTTTTAAACCTTGTTCGGCAGCGAATTAATTATACAACAATTACATTAGTTGGTTAATGGACAGTTTTAATATTATGATAAGTAATTTATTCAAACAAAGCCGTAGACAAACATGTGTGGTTAAGAACAGTTGCGTTACCATACTGCATGTATAAATTGAATTTTTCGTAATAACCCTTTGAAGTAAGTGCTCGATTTTCTCGTTTGTAACCTTTTTATTTATGTGACTTAATAATTAGTAGGTATACATTACAACATTAAGCTCGTTGTCTCTCGCGGTGTAGGCAGTCGTGTCTACCACTCCCATATTAAGCCAGTTAAGTTATGAGTTGATAACATATGGGTCTACATTAATTTTGCAATGTATCGGGTGTAAATTAAAAGTGTACCTAATTGTAACTTGATATTGGTTCGGAAATTTCATGTAACATTGGTTAGTTGTAACATTGGCACCCCAGGCTTATTAGATAAAATTCCACTGAGCACTTTCGTAAGCATTAATGTAAAGGGTCAAATTGTAGAAAGAGTAAGTGAGGCGAGAAACCTGGGCCTTGTAATGGATGAAGGTCTAAGGTTTGAACGGTTTACTTCTGATTGTGTAAGAAGTTGCTTCTACCGTTTGAAAATTTTATATAAAATACGACCCTACTTGTGCGAGGAGCTGCGTGAGCAGTTGGTGGAGAGTTTGGTTCTGTCAAAACTAAACTACGCAGATACCGTTATAGGCCCCAGGCTTTTGGCACGCACCGGGAGATTAATACAAAGAGTACAGAATGCCTGCGCACGATTTTGCTACAGTGTTCCACCAAGGAGTCATGTAACACCATTTTTGAACAAACATAACGCATTAAAAATGAAATCACGACGGAAACTCCACCTCGCCTGTCTAATGTTCGACGTGATAAAACACAAGTGTCCTCCATACCTGTACTCTAGGTTTGAATGGGTTAACAGTCACCGGGAGCGTGAGGGTAGGCGGTGTGCACAGCAACTCGCTATTCCTCGGCATAGAACTGCAGCTTTTCGAGGCAGCTTCCGTTACGCGGCTTCCAAGTGCTGGAATAATATTCCACCACCAATTAGAAATCTGAAAAATAAAAACACGTTTAGGTTAAAATTAAAAACTTTTATTTTGACATCCCAAATTAAATTTAACGACATTAATATTGACAATTCTTTTATCTAATTTCAGTTTATTGTTCCAATTTATTCAAATTATACTTACTTTTAGATGCCAACTTGGAAGTCTTTGCGTGTTGGTTGGGTGCTCGGCGTGTGAGTATTGTTTTAATGTGCCTCGCCATTATTTTAATAATTGTGTTTTAATTGTGATCATTCCGCCACTCGTAAACTATGCTGGAGTTTTTGTGTCCTGTGGCCAGAGGCCGGCGGCTGTTTCTTTGTGGGTACGCGTCGGAATGAATCGGAGCTCAGCAGAGTTGTCACTAAAACTATCTTTGTTTGACAATCAAAAATGTGAAACAACCCACAATTAATTTAAAAACAAAAAGAGTATACGTCAAAAGTGACTACCTCTTATAGAGGTAATTGCATTTTTACATTTTGTTCGTATGTATATACATGTACTATCGGATATATATATTATTCTATTCACAATTTTACACACACACACACACACATGCACATTTCAGCAAAATTTATATAATTTCATGTTTATTTTCTGTCCTCATTGAGGGGCGGCACCGCCGTCCGTGAGTCACTGCAGGGTGCCACCTGAAAACCAGCGTTGGGCACAAACGTCCAACCATATGCTGAGGTGGAGGCCCTTTTGGCATTAGCACGCGCAAATTAATATTATTATTTTGTTTATTAGAAATTTTTTTTTTTTTTTATTGTCTATTAAAAATTCTATTATTATCGTTTTATTATTTTGTTATATTGTGATGTTTTCTGTTCTGATCTGTATTCTTGTAAGTTTATTATTAGTATTTTGTTTACTTATATTATGTATTTTTATTTTTTTATATTCTTTGTTTTCTGTGCGTGTAATTGCCAAATAAATGTTTTTTCTTTCTTTCTTTTCTTTCTTTAGTTCTTAAATAAATATGTAGCTTAAGCTATTGTATAAGAAGTAGGTCACAGGCTTTACGAAATTTTCCTGAAAATTGGGATACTATTATATATTCTATTGTGTCTCATATACTGAGGTCATGAGATTAAATATCAAATCAAAATAATTGATTTTGACTTTGACTACGGTTGGCGTGGTGGTTGGGCAACTGGCTGCCGCACAACGTGTTGCGGGTTCGATTCCCGCAAGAACAACTCTTTGTGTGATCCACACATTGTTGTTCCGGGTTTGGGTGTTATGTGTATGTGAACTTGTATGGTTTTGAATACGATACACGGGAAAATCTTAGTGTGGGGAAAAGTTTTTTAAGAAAAAAATAAAATCTGTAAGTAATGTTTTGAGACCTACGATGGCTTTAAATCAAATAATTTATTCTTACGATACTAATCAGATATCAACCTAATGAGTCCTTGAACAAAATGTCCCTATTTAAATGATTTTCAAATATAGACGTTATGGTAACCATGTGTAGGTGTTAGCATCGCGTGCGCATCGTTTTAATATTGAATAAAAGAATTATAAACAGATTAAACCGACTAATAAATAAATAGGTAACGCAGTTTATTCTTACGATGACATATCATGGCTATTGTTGTTAAAATAAAACATGAGGTAAAGTTTAACATTGAGATAAAGGTTGTGTTTACGTAAGATTAAGTATTATTTAAATGGAGATTTAATATTTTACAAGAATAAGAACTATGCTAGAGAAAGCTACAGTTATTTTTAAATTGAATTTAGTCTATGAACATTACAGATCAGAACAACATGCCTTAATATAAATTAGAGAGATTTATTTACGAAAATGTTGCCTCACACTAGGATTTTCTCCACTGTTGTTGGTGCGCTTACAAATAAAAATTAATGGATCACACAAAGAGTTACTCCGTGCGGGAATTAAACGCGCTACTCGCGCGGCAGCCACTGCTCCAACCGTTCAGTCAATTGCAGTCTGAGGCATTAAAGGCATTAAGATTTTATTTTAAAATAAAAAGAAAGAAAGAAAGAAACAAGAATTTAAAAGCATAATAGTCTTACAATTTACCAGATATTAGCTTACGACCGTTCATCGTGTTTAATTATTTCGACTCTGCACTACATTAATATTCAATGTGTCAGCATTGACTAATCAAATATAATTAATTTTATATAAAACCACAAAAATCATCCTTTTAGATTAATTTAAACAAATTTTTGCTCGAAATATTCTTAATTTAGAAATAGTTTATGCATTTACAAATATTTTAATGAATATTTTGTAATCAAGTCTTGGTTGCAGAGGAATATCAATATAGATCAAATACTAAGCAAAATATTTCGAAAACTCAGGTTCAATATGGTTTAATTTTTTTGAACACTTTTAGAAAATTGTGAAATTACATTTGAGGGCAATTATTGATTTAGGTAGTAGATAACCGGGAAAAATCAAAGAAGAAAGTAAAGTTTAGGTAATAATATATTACAATACATAGTTTGGTAATACAATAAATTAAATAACAGTCTTATTAATTAGCCGAGGAGAGAAGCAACGACTCCGGGTGGGACGGCTCCTCCGGGTCCTTGTTCAATTGTGGGCTGGTAACCGTTGTCGTCAGCAACGTAGATGACACGGTAGAGCACGCCGTCAGGTCCCACCCAAGCGAAGGAACCCTTCACAGCGATAGACTCGTCTTCCTTGCCTTCGTTTCTGAGCTCAGCCTGTTGTTCGGCGCCAGTTCCGTCAGTCAATTCAAATCTGGAATTAGTACGTAGGTATCATAATTACTAATCAAATCAATATTCAGTTTCCTTATCTTTTTCTCCAGGAAAGTTCATAGTGCAATTAATTTACAGGTACGTTAAATAGTTTTAACTATCCGGGGAAATCTTACCCGTATTTGTAGTTTCCTAGTCCAATATTGTCATTTTCATATTTGACGATCTCGACATTGCCAGAGTTTGACCTTGGAGGAGGGGCAGCAACTGCCACAGCTACCAAGCAAAGGGCTACGATCTGTAAACAAAGGTAGAAAATATTAGTGATAATAATATTAGTGATAATGAACTTAACCTTAAAATATTGTTCATCGACATTTTTGGTTATGATACTTTAATCGTAATTTTATTGTAAAACAATTTAGGTAAGTACCTAATTTGTCTTAGAGTTTTAAGTAACCTTCTTTTGCGAATTATTTGCTTAGACAAATTTATCTGATTTTTAAAGAATAATTTATATACTGATAAAAAACAATGTAAATACAATAAAATAAAACAAACCAGTTTCATGTTTGAAGTGCTGATTTCACGAATGGATACAGTGAAGTGACGAATCTCACGTGAAATTCGGTATTTATATCTAGCACGACTTTAATTTGATTTTATGCTAATGGAGTAAGTAGAAGGTGAACCGCTTGACAACTAAAACATATAATGCAATTCCCTTTATCAATGAATATACAAATACTTTCTAAGAGCAAACGAGCAAACTTACTCAATCACATGACTACCGAATTTTTGGCTTGACAACATAGAAACATGTAGTAAGTTTGTGGACATGCGGTCGGCTGTACATTTTTGCATTTTTGTGTATTTTATAATTTCTCTATTACACAAAAATAAAAAATAAAACT